ATCTGATAATCACGAATGTCCGGTAGTGCTTAAATTTTATTTTATTTTGAAGTTTTAGGTGTGCTTGAAAAATAAAATGACCAAAATACCCCCAAAACGTTTCCGGGGTATTTTGGTTAATTTATTTCAAGTAAAATATTTTTTTGGTAATTTTCAAAGATTCAGCTATTTTTGATGAACACACGCCTAAAATTTCAAATGATTTGGATTTGTAGAAAAAAAACTAAAATTCAAGCACTACCAGACAACTGTAACCATCAGATCGGCTCAAAATCAATCTGAGACGTTGAGCTCATATATTCATATTAGATAGTGGGCCAATCCCATCTTTTACGTATATATATAGCTTATTTAATATTTTCTAAAACCCATTCTTTATCCCCATCTTATAAATCCTTATCTTGATTTTATTTGATTTTATTTATGTTTTAATAATTTTCTAGATTGCCGATTCAGACTGATTTAGACCTGATCCACCAATGTGACACGGATATGTAGTCGAATGATCACCTCCCCACTGATCGGGAATTTGAAACACCGGTTATCACCATCCAATAAATGTACTATAAGGGGGAGAGACTGTGAGAGGAGACTGCGTGAGAGAGAGAAACTATCGGGAATATGCTACGACCACAGTAGTAGCCCCCATTCAACATGACCATCTATCCATTGTTGCACTGATTCATCACTCATAACTTTGTATTTTCTATGGGTTGTATCCGTGAGAAATTGCCATAATACTCTGTTTTTCATACAATGAATCGATTTCGTTCCTAGCATTACTAGCACGAGGCACAAAGCTTTATGCGACCAAAAATTACCAACAGAAAGAAAAGATGAAATTTTAATAGGTAGTACATGAAAAATGACAAATTTCTCCCAAAAATGATTATTCCCTCAAAATAGGTTTCATGGTTGAGACTGCCACCCCACTGTCAATATTAAGAAATTTGGTAAAATGAAACCTCATATAGAACTTAACACGGTAACCCCATGACAAGTGAATATTAAAGCATAAAAAGGTCGTGTTTGAAGCAGGTGCAAGGGACTCTATTTTTCGCATATTAACAGCTACGGTAAGAAGAATGGAAGCTCCTCCACCTTGACCACCAAGGCCATAGGCCCATTCCTCCGCAAGAGGGAATATCGAGTTCATTATAGAAACATCAGATTATGAAGGTGGACTTCAAACAAGTGAACATGTGAACAGGATGGGTAAGGTAACTTGTCATGTTACCCTGAAGGCAAATCCGAAGTCCAAAAGTTTGTGCAAATAGAAGTATCAAACATCACAGCACTAATTGAATCATGGTTGGAAATTTAAACTGGATAACCCATCAGAAATAGATAGATAACATGGAGTCAACAGCAAAAATCTATAGTCTCAGATCCTCCATGCCACATAGAAGAGCCACTAATCTGAATGGTTCTCCAACACAACTTGATGTAACAAATTAAAAAGAAAAAAAACAGAAAACAAAACTGATATTGTAATCCACAATACCCAAGGCTTTGCTTCTTTGGAGAAGAGCATGTACTGATTCACTGCCGCATTGTCACAACCAATAACTGTGATAAGAGTATGGACATACTTTCTCTGCCATTGTTGGAATTTCGATCTTTAACTAGCCATGTAGAGCAATCCCCCAGTATAAATCTGATCTATCAATTATCACTTGAAATTTCCTCCAGATTCATTTCCTTGTTCATTTCTTTCTTTTCACAAGAATATACTCGAACTCATTATTTTATGATAGATCATATCAAACACAATTACTATCTCTTCCATTCACACAGGCTAGAAATTCAACAAGCAACAAAACAGGCACCCATACCCCTTAATGCACCTACCCTGACATGGAAAGCAATTCTCGTAATTCCTTGCATGTCAAAATGGGGCAACCGATTTCTATTAGCGGAGTATCCACCAGACCCAGAAGCTGCACAACACAAATAAATCTCTAATGTAAGCTTCATTCATAAGTTTGACCTCAATTCCAGTTTGTAAGCCTGCAGCTCCATGGGGAGTAACAGTACATGTCCATCCCTTGTTCCACCTCCTAAATCCTTCCTATGTGGATGCTCATAGTACCCAAGTCTTTCCATGTCGTCATCATGCAATAAATTCAAAGAAGTAGCTTTAGCATCTAAAACTGCAAAATCCTTGAACATGGAGAACACATTGATCTGCCTGTCTCCTAATGTAGTGCAATTCAAGCCACCCTTCCTACAATAAGATGAATCCAAACCTCTCCTCCGTAAAATAAGAAGAAATCTGGGATAATCAGATGAAAGCTGAGAGAATTTCAAAGGTCTTGGAACCTTGAAGCTCACAATATGCACATCACATGGTAAAGATGCGGCTAATGGAGAGAAGTGTTTAGGTGGGGGTAACTGTGAAGAGGTTTCCTCTGGTTTCCCAATGAATGCATGCATTGGGTAGTTGATGTGGGCACCAACCAAATGGGAAAGAAGTGAAGGATTCAATGGTAAAGAGAGAGAAGTGGGTATAGGAGTAGAAGACTTATTGGTTTCAGTAAGGATGTGAAAGAGCACATTTATGGGCCTATTGTCCAAGACCCCTTGCCCTAAACCTCTACCATCATCACGAGTTAAACGCCTGTCAACCATAATTTCCAGCCAACCATTCTTTAAGCTTGCAGCACCCAATGACTGCCTAGAATGCACAGAGAATCTCCTACCATCTGAACCATGCAAGAAGGCATGGGAAGGCATTGGATAGTAGTTTCCCTGCAAGGGGATCTTCTTGTAAGTTTCTCTTCGGCTCATTTGGAAACCATTCAAATCAGTATAGAAAACATGCCCATTATCGATGTCTGTCTTGAATCTTACAATCAGTTCTTTGTCATTGAAGTCATGGTCAAGAAGCTCCACATGGTATTCTTTCTCTATAAGAAACTTTTGCAACATATCCTCTCCGTTAAAAATGCGGGTACTATGTGAGACTGGGCTTTTCGACCACAAAGTTTTTGGGAAAGAGAAGGCTTCATTCACCAGAAGACCTTCTGATATTATCATCATCCCACCTTCTCGGATAATGGGTTCAGCTTCCCCATTGGGCTTGAACAGGTACGCCCCACTTTCCCAAGTCGAGTATATACCAATCTCTTCCCCAATAATTGTCTCAGTACCATCCTTGTGGACCTTCAATTTTTGCAACATACCCTTTTTCACATCAAATGTTAATGTCTGATGCTGATTTCTAACCTCTGCCATGCTCTCTTCCAATTTTGAGCAAACATAAGGTTGAGGGCATGGTAGAGGCTTGGAGCCACTATGTACTTTCAGTTTTGAAGGCCTGGCTTTCTCACAGCCCACAAAGCCATTAGCAACATAATAAGTTTGCAATCCCATGGGAGGCACAGAAGCTTGCCAATACAAGCGATGCCGTCCAGTGAACAATCCATCCTTACCATGTTGCCACTCAGGAACAACCTGACTTGTCACTGATGACCAATTGGAATATAAAACACACATGCTTGGGTTGTCCACAACCACCATCACAACCTCATCTCTAGTTTGCTCCAATGGATTGAAGAATATGACTGATTGTACACTTCCTTCAAGCACAGTTATTGTTTTGTACATTGGTTGCACATCATATCTCGATCTCAACTTTGCTGGTTCAAACAGAGATGGTTGGGTACTCTTTCCCACCTTCTCATGACGAATATTAAGAAGTGCCTCAACAGCCTTAGCCATGAAAATTTGCAGATCATGGAGAGAAGTATGCATCCTTCCTCCATAGTCCACTACCACATGATCCTTGGCAGTACCAGTCACTCCGTCATGGTGTTGAAAAAGAGCCAAATTCCTCCTGGCAGCTGTGAATTTGTGGGCAAAAGAGATGGGAAGCTTTGCACATGGCAGCCTCTGACAATAACCCAACAATAAGGCCATCATAATTTCTGATGAGCGTAATGTCTCTTCGAGGACTCGATCAACTGCTTTAAAAAAGGGTCTTGAGACGTAGTATCCACTCCAATAATCCTTTTCTCTATCTGCATAGGTGAAAAAATCACCAGAAAGTGAAGGGAACCCCTCTACCTCCCTTGAACCAACCTCTCCAGCCCTTGAAAAGTTTATCCTCTCGGCCTCTGACCTAAGAGTTTGGAAATAGTCTTCAAGAGTGCCAAACTTGGCTTCAGCTTTTAAATCAGGGTTGGAATTGATATAATCAAATATCAACTGATAGTTTCTAAACTGAGCTTCTGCTTCATCAACACTAACATACCGGAAATCATCTCCAAGGGGTATGAGAAGGGTATTTGTGCGGTACAAGGTGGACTTTTTCTTGTACTGATCCAACAATAACAAGGCCCTCTCTCTAACATTGTTAGAGTCAGTCTCAACTGGGTTAATTCTCCAAGGGCAGGCCTCATAGAAAAAGCCAGGGGTTCGAGCAAAGTCAAATTGACAACATACGGCAGGCTCAGGTCCACATGTATGAGGGATATCATAAGAGTAAAAGGGCATCATATGAACAAAAATATCAGTTGTTTCCTCTGCATCCCAGCTCTGTCGCCATATATATTCGAGGTTCTGGTGCAAGGCTAGCTCCTTTTTCACCTCATAATGAGTCCTTTGAATAAGCATGTTCTCAAAACCCATACGTCGGAGCAGATATGCCATTGTAGATGAATATCCAAATGGATCTATAGCCCAAGCATTCTTGGGAATAACTCCAATTGTATCTTTTAACCACATGTTTCCCTCCATCATCTGCATGCCATGTGGTAAATAGTCAATCAGTATGGAACTAACTTTTGCCATTCCATGATGACTTCAACTCAAATTTATACAAGAAAAAGAGGGAGAAAATGCTTGACATAAATGCATGCAATCTCATTGAATGATCAATACTTCAAATTACTTAGTCATACTTTAAATGTAAGAGCACATGCATCAAAAGACAAAACAAAAAGACAAAAAGAAGCATATAAATGACTAGGCGATTTGCATTGTGACCATGCTCTAGGTTCCATGATAGTGGCATGTAGTATGTACCACAACAACCCACCTATTTGTGTCATAAGGTTCAATACAGGTATAAAAATCATAGAACCATTACAAAGAAGCAGTCCAACTACCAAACATCACAAATAAATCCAATCAATTGCTCTGATTCAAAATTTGGGTTAATCATGATGAATCTTTGGGATTATCCTTTGAAAGATTTTAGTGTGCATTTGTAGACGTAAAACCATATTTGTTGGAGGCGGGAGCGGGATCGGTTCGGGATTCGTCGAACCGCCCCATAGTGGAAGCTCTTTAGGTTTAGGAACAGCGTCCGTACTATGAACAAGACAACGAGCGAGATCCTTAGGTTTATGGGAGCGAGAAACGATGCCAATGGTTTCGATGTTTTTACTGGCAGGAATCTAAGCTCCATTATACAAAAAAATGAGGTTGTAAGTAGAGTTAGTACGAGTTCTCTTGGTTAAGGAATCGAGATTTAAGTATGCCATATAACGGGCTTCCTCCTGTTCCAATATCAAGATTCTTAAAGTATAGGAATCAAGGTCCTCAGCTGGTTGGCTCAAGGTCCGCAAGTGCCATTTACCAGAGATCCCTTATCAAGCGTCCCCCGCCCTTAACAATGGATTCATATATTTTTGTGTGAATAACAACGGATTAATTATGTAGCTCTCTATAAGTCAGTTTTTCTTATGACCATTACATCTTCAGGCCATGACAGAAGTTTGGTATGCACCATTCACTCTGAATCCTCGGCAATCCAGAATCCTACTACTCAAGAGTCATCTTCTTCAAATGTAGTCTCCTTTGCTTCCATTGTTTTTCAAATGGCTGGCCCCCCGAAGGAGCTAGATGATGACAGGATGAGCTTCTCTCTCTCTCTCTCTCTCTCTCTCTCTCTCAAACTGATGTAAAAGAAGCTTTTTAAAACTTGAAATAAAAACATATATTCTCATCTCACAACTGTAATCAGATTTAAGACTCTAAAACAATAGGGCATCATACATATAAGATCTTAAATGAAATATATATTCTCACAACTAAGAGAGATGGCTTACAGAATAGGACTTAATAAAACAATGGGTCATTTTAGACTATGCCTAGTTCAAATTAAGAATCTAAAATAATGGAACTTCGTGCTATGCAAAAAAGGGACCAGATTATAACATCATGGAACTTATGATTACTAAATAATGGGAACTTTGGACAATGGCAATCTCTAACCTGGTATCATCCGTTAATAAAAGTAGAACCCACAAACATGGAACCCGAGATTTTAATGTACCAAAACCTTGGACCATGGTTGATGGGAGCAAGGATCTATTTCAAAATGGAACTGGATTCCATTGATGGATGGAATGTGGTCCCTCTTTTTGGGAGTGAGATCCCAAAATCGAAAAAATGGAGTCCCTACAAGATCCCTTGCAGGAACCATGGGATCGAGGTTCTAGAGTGGGATCGTCACCCTATCTACAAGGTTCCCTTAACTATGCACTATGCGTAAAACACTGGTTCATTAATTTGTTTTAGGTGGAAAAAATTCCTTGCCCAAATGTTCCAACTAAATCTTCAAATTGGACGCCTTTGGTGAGTGGTAAATTTTTTGGCTTCCTCTTCTTATTAATGTTAATATGACAAGAAGAAAAGGGAAGCTAGAATGATGACTGAAGTTACATATCACCTTTCACAGTGTTGTAACTGAAGAGAGACGTGGATGCCGGCACAGGACATGGCAATTTTCAGAAAACTAGCATAACTGCAGATATTTAATTAAGTTTCTCAGAGCAGAAAAAGCAGCAGAAAGATACAACAAGAGAAAGAGAAGTAGTATAATTCTCAAGAAGACATATCCCACAACAACAGAAACTCCCTCACCGCCTGATAGGCTAATCTATTAGCTAAATGATAAACACAAGGATTATCTCTAAAGAATCGAAACAAACTCAAGTATTAAGCTGGATGCGTAAGCCATTCTACTACATAGCAATTTCATTAAGAGATTCGAGTTGCTAATCTCCAAAAGACATAACTAACTTATACATCAAGTCAAAAAATAGCGAGATAACTAAAGAAACTGACACAATGGCTGTCTAGGCCTCACTGATAGAACTTTCTTCAATTTATAAAAATTGATAATGAAGACTTTAAGGCAACCATGATAAAAGACGCACTGGAGCTTTCTTAGGAAGTGCAATAATTAACTAATGCATAATCTTCAAAAAGCATAACTTTTTGAGCAACCCTGATGGCTCCTAGCAAGATATTTCCAACAAAATGGATGATAGAATGAGACATCTGACCAAGTCAGTAGTCCTCTCCAGAGCATCAAAGAATACAGTAACACGTATCTCCCTCAAGTGGTGATGCCAAAGTGTCAACTGGTGTCTAAAGTATCAAAACTTGCCAGGTACGATCTGTGTCAGACATGCTGAAATGTGTGAAACACATTTGTCAATATTACATACATGTGTACTACAGTACATCCGATGAAGAGAACAAGCTCGATTATCATTTCTCAATTCAGTGCAGGTTCTTTTAAAAGAAAAGGTTTTGGTAGTCACTACCAAAATAGTCTACCCAAGACTAGTTAATTTGGGATGATCCCAGAGACCAAACTCTGTCCAACATGTCAATGAGGTCTTTCAACTACATAATGCAGCTGCCAAACAACTCCAATATTTAAGATCCCATAGATTTAGTCTAACTAAAATGCACAGTGGAATTTCATCAGCAGTCTTTCCATCACAGCTAAAGAGTTCTGCAAGGGCCCTACTGATCCAACTAACAATGAATAAGATAATACCGAAAATGGCAAACCTTGGTCTTATTAGCCATCCTGTACTCAAGGCCGTAGCTTAAAATTTTTATAGACAAAATATTTTTGACATCTTTGAAAGTTTGAGACAAAAAACTATCGCTATTTTAGGGAAGGAGAGAGTGCCTTATGTATTTCGAACAAACTTGGCATGGCCGTCAAAGTGAAAATAGTGGTTGTCTTCCTTTTTCCATTACTTGGTCTCTGGACCAAACTAGTTACATTCTAAAAGTGCAACAAGTGTGTTCAAGCAACAAGCACCAATGGATCATCCTATCAAATTTGCGATTTCAAATTACGATAGAAGGAAGCAGTCCGTATGTTGCTGTGCATAGATGCATAGTTACTAAACAAAAGAGAAATCACTCCAGAGTACAAACTTTGTAAGGGTATCTTTGTTTTGTTTTGGCTTTTATTTTTTGTATGTGGCTCATAGGGGTATATTCTAGGTCTCCTTTTGCATATTAAGAGCATTTTTTATTGATGGAACATTTTGGGAGCTGTAGTTCCAAGTTCCACCAAAAAACACATCCATGTTTGTTGTAACCCTGTGAAAGCCACAAGATGAACACACGGCACTCCATGGGGCCTCATTTAACATCAAATAGACCCTGTTTGGAAGCCACCCCTTCCATGCTAAATGATGGAAGGGCCAGCTGCCATATCTTTTGGAAGATGGGGCTTTGCAGCCCCCTTTCCACAGGTCGAACATGCCCTAAATGATGTATTGACTTAGAGAAGTACAGATTGAGTCGCAACTGAGGTGAGAGAAACAAAGTAGTCGTTGAGATCATCGGTTTCTCAGTAATTTGTCAATAGGTTTTTTTGTCATTGCCCCATGAGCTTTCCATGTATCCAGGTTACGTTTTTTTCGTTGTATTAGAACTTGGGAATAGACATAATAAACCATTGGTTGATCCATTTGTGTTAACATCAGTCAAAAACGTTGAAGTTATATATTTCTTAAAAATAGAAACCTTCATCAAGGGATAACAAAACATGCTCATCCATACACTAAAATCTTGCCTCTAAGTGCCAAACACCACACAATCTCTCTTCTCCAAGTGGTAAATTCAAATCCTAGATTTCACATGATATCAAATCATGTAGTTTGGGGCTGATTCAACTGTTGTTTCATGATATTTTAGTTTATTAACCAATGCCTCTTTTGGAAGGTCTATATCTTACTACTGTGTTAAGAGATTGTCATCTTGAAGAGGGCCAAGGCCCTAGAAGCATTGCCTAGAGCAGGTGGTTGCCTAGAGCAGGTGGCTGCCTCCTTTTTTTTTGTTTTTTTTTTGGAGTAGGGGGTAGTTGTTGTACACTAAGCACACCATGTGGCTAAGGCACGCCGCCTTAAGGGCCAAGGTAGGGGTGGTAACAGATGGGGGGGTATGGACCCGAACCCCAGTAGAAAATATAATAGTGGGACTCGGACCCAACAAGGTCCGGAGTCCCCAGACCCGGATCCAAATTGTTTATAAGCGACTCAGACACGATGTGTAAATCAAAAAACAGAGAGAGGAATCAAAACCCTAAAAATAAAGAAAGTAAAGTTAGTTATGAGAGGATTAATCCCCACTATTCATCTTATAAAAGAATAAAAGTGGGGATCAGAAACATATTTCATATAATCATAAATATGTTAAATATATATATATATACATATATCAAATATTGAATACAGTAAGATGGTAGTAGGATGGTCATAAATTATAAACTTTCAGATACTGCAATCTGCAATAATGGTAATTGCTTTGAATTTCCTTTTATCATGGTAAAAGGATTAAGCCAGTCCGTAATACTAGGGACACCATTCTTGAACATGTTATATCCTATAAAAATAGATAGTTCAGGAATCGAAGCCACTATAGAAAGCCATAATGTAAAATTTGACTTCATTGACAAACCAAAAATCAGAAAACTGAAT